CCAAAAGATAAAAATCAATTAAAAATTGTATTAAAAAACAATCTAATTTTGCATCAATATTGTACTCATAAGTCTTTCAGTACTCAGGGGAGAGATATCCATCTCAAGAGTAACTTTCCAGCTCTCTCCACATATTTTCGCGGAACAAAACTTTAGATTTCATAACCATGTCAATAAATATCACAAGAAGCATAGCATCATGCCACACCTTTACAGGGATAAAAATGTAATGTTTCTGTAAAGATATTAAAAGTATAATATTCCTTGATCTTGACCTTACAAACAAAGTGAATTAAATATGTATGAGAAGAGCAGTAAATCCAATTGACACAATATGTTGTCTGCTCTTAGTTAGCACACAGGCATGAATTTCAATTCCAGCACTGTTGAGCTACAGAAATGGTACTCCATATGCACTTTCAACAATAAACTCACTGAACACACTCATGATCTACACTTGAAACAATACATAGTATTCATATTTCACACTATTCACTGGCTGAAAATACTTGCTTAATAAACTAACTTTCCTCCAATGACTTGAGTATAATAAAAAATATGACAGAAATTAAATGTAGTTTTAAAAAATGAAAAAAAAAGCACACCCTCTGGACAGTTTCCGACTTTCCACCAGAGGTTCCACTGTCATCATCATCACTGTTGTCCTGATAGGCTTTCGGATCAAAGAATCCTCCTGTCTTGGGGAGTTTCTTTTCAGCCAAATACAGAATATGACCCTCCGAGGATGACCATTCAAAACTGCCAAACTGACCTGTGGGGATATGTAAACAAATTATGCGCACAGTTTTCTTTTTCATGAATGCACCTTTCTTGGGATCTAATTTGAGCATGAAAATTATCATTGCCGTAATTATGTAAGTTCTTATTGAAAGCAAATTGGCTGCTGAGTGTCAGACTTTGTCATAAGTCACTTTTCAAAATGGTGTTTAGTGGAGTGGTACATTAAGCAGTCGAAATACGGGAAATAATTCAGTCTGTGATGAAAAAAAAAGGATGCTGCAAGACGATACAACCTTTACCATTGAGCATGTTTGTTTCCTTCTTGTCTGACAATTTTATCAAATAAAAGCATCAATCACCCTACTGGACAAGGATAAAACTCAGTTCAGTATGGACAATTTTGAAGAAGCACATTACATAATTTGTGCATCTAGAAAAGCCGAAAAAAGTCACTATACAGAATATTTGACAATAATCTTGCCACAGAAGCACATCAGTATTTTAACAAAATTTTTTGGTAAGTGTTTTACAGCGCTCGCAACTGCATAAGGTCATATGAGTGCGTGGTAGACGTTAAACATTTTCAGTTGGTAGGAAATTTTGAATTTTGACTGGGTGGCAGCCGAAGCCTACTCTTATCTATTTTGGACCACCATAGGATCTTTAACATGTGCAACTTGCACACGGGACCTCCGAGATCTTTTGCCCTTGTCCGAGAAGGCTAGGTGTATATCTTTCCTACCAGAAGATCAGGGGTGAGGCTGAAATACAGCAGTAAGAAGGAGCCAAGGAGTAGCAGTAAAAAGGCTGCAGAAAGAGTCAGGAGCCTGGAGGAGGGGGCAAAGGAGCTGAGAGGCGGGGGTAGGGGCAGAATGTGGAGACGAAAGCAGACAAAAGAACATTGTTAAAGAGCAGGAAAGGAGGTGAAAGGAGAAAATTTTAGAAAAGAAAAATTTCCGTCGCTATCCGGGTTCGAATTCGCGACCTATTGAACGAGAGACGAACACCTTAACCTCTTGACCATGAGAGCCCTTGCACATCAGTATGATTGAGTGTATCTAAAGTAATAATTGTAATAAACATACAGTAGGCTGCAGAGCATAGATGTGCTATATGAATGCAATTATTATTAAATATTATTGTCATTATTAATGTTTCAACAAAAGGCGTAATAAAAGGTAACTCTGCATGGTCAAAAAACATTTCATAATTTAAAAAACTGGGAATCCAAGACACAGTCCGTAGGGATGCCAAAACGAGGATCTAAATACATAACATACATAAAGAAAAGGAACGTACCATCATTTCCTATGATTTTTCCATGTCTCTCCAAAGCAAGAACATCAATAGTTTTCAGTTTCCTTGAGTTGTCAAAAATCTGGATTAGAAGAGAAATGCTAGTTTTTTTTAATGTGTTACGACACAGAGGAATCAGGCATTCGTCAGTTTTTGGGTATGTGGAATAATTGTATCATCTTAAATCTGGTTCATCAGTCTTGTTTTTGATTTTTTTAAAATACCTATCTATCTTTAATACAAGCCAAGATATTTGCAATAGGAGGAGGTGAGGGGGGGTCTATTGGTTTCAGAGGTAGAATTAATGAGAAAATGGCCACCAAATTTTGTTGACTTCCATGGCTTGAGAGTCCTTGGAAACTCATAATTTTTTTTTCACCTTTTATCAATGTTTTTAGTTTTTCAGTAAAATTTATGTGAAATATTTGGCATGGGATGTAATATTATATCTTAGATATTTAAACTGTTGAACTTGTTTAATCTTTTGCACCTTTGCATACTCACTGTAATGAGTGTTAAATAGAGCATTTAAAGACAAAATATGTTTGCCTTATATACATAACACAGTCTAACTGCTATAATTGACAAACCAGTTCAAGACAACCACCTGTACAAATGACCACTTCCATTATATTGACACTATTCAGGTGGACCACCTGTCTAAGATGACCATTTTCTCCTCCAAGATGGGTGGTCATCTTGGACAAATTTGACTGAGTAAATATATTTTTCAACAATTTTCATCTATAAACAAGTATTGTCCTCTTTCATGACACAGGAAAATGTAGTGGAGTCTGCTTAAACAGAAATCTGCAGGACCGCAGGATCTTTTTTGGTTTACCAAGACTGCTCAAATAGCCATGATTGTAGATAGCGTAGAGTTCGGAATGTCATAATTGAGGCAAATTTTGAAGAGTTCTTTCTCGCCTTTCTCATTCAGTAGGCCCAACAGCAAAAATTTTAGCTGCAAGTTGTATGCATTGTGCCTTCTGTTCAAGATTGTCAGCTTACTTAATCTACTGAAAAGTAAAACAGAGCAGATGAAAGAGATCAGCACATTGCAATGTGTTTTGCCTAAGGCTAGAGAAGTGAGAAAGCACAATGCCAATGACGTCACATTTTGTTTTGCTTTCTTGAAGCTCATAACACTTGATGATTTTCAGGGCTATTTGAGGGTTGCTAGAGAAGATTTAGATTACATAACCCTTGAAACTCTAGGAATAGAACCATTTAGGCTAGTTGAGACAGTTTTCTTACATAGACAAAGAAGGAAAAAAAAAGTGGGTTTCTCTTTCCTTTCAGTTTACCTATTTTTCAGATTAAAATGTGTTCAGTTTAAGTAGACTCCACTGTAAATGCAGTTAGATAACTATTTCAACTAATAGAAAGTCCAATAATAAACCAACTTCTAAGTACTGTTTATCCTCATTCTTTTTGTCTTTTCCAGAGCGGACAACGGCTCTCAGTTTGCCAGAGGGAGAAATTCTATTCCACAGCCTGTGCAGAGAAAAGAAGGTCAGCTAAATTCAGAGGGATGGGTTACATAAACATCCAACAGAATGTTTTGAACGTTTTATTTTACTGTTACAAGATCTTTTTACCAGACAAAAAGAAGAAAAAAATCATACAAAAACCAATAACAAAAATACTGTACAACCTAAAAATTAATTTATAAGTGTAAATCCAGAGTTAAATAAGGAACTCTACAAATTCTAAATCAAAGAGTGGAACTACTAAATTCAAAGAAACTTTGATTCATACAATGAAAACAACACAATTACTATTACTGCAAAAACTTATTGCCTTACTAAATCATATCTCTTGATAAAAAAAAGGAAAATACTTGAGTCAAAATTTCTGTCCATCAAAGACAGTGTAGAAACATAATTTTCTTCGAGTCCACAAAAAAAAAAAAAAAATGTCATTAAACTCCAGAAGAGGTAAAATAAAATCAATCACTTTAAGAAAAATATCAAAAGTTTTCATCATTGAAGTATGATAATGCTAATGAATGTTTTATAATCTAATAAGGACCAATATCTCACTCATTCTTCACTTCCTGAGGCCCATCTTGTGATAAAACTTTTCCTGAGGCCAAATCAATAGTGTGGGACCTATTGAAAGAGCCTTTTTCCTTTCGGTCCAGGTCTCTCTGAGACCATGTAGAGTTGACCAATAAAATGTTCCCATCACGACTGGTGGTTGCACTTGCGACAGCAGGATATGAGTTGACTTCACGGTAAATTGCAGCAATGTCTTTTGGCTGTGGGACAAAAATAGCAAAGTCAGTTAGAAAGAAAGAAGCTTTGATATATTTATGTTGTGGAAGGTTGGTTAGCTCCCTTTTTACTATAAATAATGGCAGTTTTATGTAGCCAACGTAATTCAATGCCATATCATCACTAAGTGATCGAACCACATCAATTCCCAAACGAAGGAGACCAGTTTTCTTTGACACTGCTCTTTCTGGATCTTAAAACTGTAGCCCATTGGTCAAATGCACCTGATTTGCAAGACCAGATCAGGTCGAGGTGGGTCATGAAAAGACTCTGGCCTGTGCACACAATGTCAAATACACCCCGGCTTTTCTCCTAAAAATTGACCCAGAATTGCATACGGGCCTACTGCATTCTTTTCACATTTGAATCTGACCTAACAATGTCAGTTGACACATAGTGACCTTCTAATATAAGACTAATTGGATGCTGTTTTCATCAAATGCACCCAATTGTGATCTGGAAAATTGAATTTGGAGATTTGATCAAACAGTAGAGCCAATTTGGTAGTTTTGAGCCTGCATTTTGTGAAGAAAGAATGTGGCCACCTTTAAAAGTATTAAATCATGATGAATTCATGAAAGGGATTCGATGAAACTTTCTGTGGGGTGCACTGGGTACCATCCGTCAGAGGATGTACTTAAAAATATAAAAAATTAAGGCAATAAAACAGAGCCTTACGGCAATCCTAAGCCTGCGCCTTGCCTCCCGTTGAGACCTCAGAAGTCAGAAGGGAAGGGAAAGTTTCCTCTCTTTTTCATTTTCAACTGCAAGAGACCAACTATCTAAGACGGCCACTTTTTTCCCTCAACAATAATGTTTACAAAGGGTAGTCGTTTTGGACAGGTTCGACAACTGTTCAATTTTCAGGATATATTCCGGTTTTGGCCCCAACGATAACCTTGAAGTGTGGGTTTTGGCTCCACCGATGATTACTTCTGGTTCTAAACCATTACTTTTCAACGCATATATATGCCGATTAAAGATTGATGGGCTGCAAACAATAGATATCAAACCTAATTGCAAAACATAAAATTGTGGTTAAACACAGGGAACCCCCCTTAATTTTATTAGGTCGGGGGGGGGGAAGCCCCTCTGAAAACCCCCTTGTTGAATGCAAAAGAAATACTGCTCATTTTGTACTGAAAAAATAGCAGCACGGATCATATCTCTCGATCTTTTTTGGATAAAATAAAACATCGAATAAGTACGATCTTGCTTTAACCCTGGAAGCACGCAGGCCCTATATAAAGAGCGTGAGCCAGGCTACCTGGGAAGCATGCAGGCCCTATATAGGGCTGACCTACTTCGACTGTGATGCGCGCAGGCCCTATATAAAGGCCTTTCTCAACGGAAAATTTAAGTATTCCTTATTTAGGAAAATGACGTAGTAAATTACAGGTCAAATTTATAAACATAGTGACCAACGACTTTGCAAGTTATCTTGACCTCGTAGAGCGTCTCTTGGCCAAGATATCGATCGATAAAGTGACCCGGTCCAGCTGAGGGACTACACGCTATGAGTTATCACTTGTTCCGCTGAGCTAATGTACTAATTGTTGAGTTCATAGCGTTTTGCGCTTTGTATTTATTTGATCGCATCATTTTCGAATGGCTCTCATGGTTCTATAAATGTCTTTTATCATCTGTTGTGAGCTGTAAATGGCCATTTTTCAGCAGCAGGTATACATATCTGGTATCTCAACTGATATCCCCCCCCCCCCCCCCCCCCCCCCCCCGCCAAACCCCCATGTTTACAACCGATCGGCCGTGGTGGCGGGGCATTTTTGGCGGGTTAACTTCCGGTGTAACGCTGAGCGCTTCTAGGGTTAACTCTTTTTATCCGGGCTACGAGTATACTCGTAACCAGGACCAGTCCGGGCTACGAGTAAACTCGGAACAGCAATAAGGTCACGTCAAAGAAGCTAGTTCTGCTTGTACCAAAATATGCAAATACGGCGATGCTAGCTCTGTCTGAATACTTAAATTTCCAATGAACATCGGTTTCTTTGTTTTTGATGGGTGTAGAAGCTTGAAAGATGTCTCGAAAACCCACGTTCTCGACCACGAAGTACTTTTTGAAGTGGTGCTGGGTTGAGATGGGGAATGAGACTAATTTGATGAAAGAGACTCTGAATCAAGTGCCGCAAATTCCGTTGTGGATGATAAGAAACAGGACTTAGACTCATCTAATAGCAATTCAGATCATGGTGAAGGGGTCAGTACTGGAATTCGTGCTGGGGCGATGGTTGGGGCTGGATCTATAAAATCCAATGGGACATCGTATGCGCAACAATCAGGATCAAGTGGGAGGGTGGAATACACCTCAAAATCTACATTCTGCAATTGGTGCAATTTTTAACCACATACATTTACAAAAACTACATTCAATTTCTAACATAACTGCCAAACTTCCTTAAAATCTTAGAGTAAACATAAGAAATACAGCAATTTGAAATATACAACACTTAATTCCAACTCATATAATGGCGCGACGGCCCCAGGACAGGGACAGAGACAGAGTCCGCGGGGGTACGGCCAGGATAAAAAGAGTTAAGTCAGTATCGATATCCAGTAGATCTAGATCTACTAAATGTCGAATTTTCATTACCTTACCCCTTACGCTACGATACGGTAAAGTTATGTGATCTAGATCTAGATCTACAGTACTGTCTGGCCATCTCGGCCGTCTGGACAAGTCGGCCGCCCGCCTAGGGGAGTGTTGTTACCTGCCGCAGGACAACCATGGTGGTAGATCTAGATCTGGAGTCTAGCAGCGAATTCTTAGACGTCCTGAGCCTGAGTCTGATCAAAGAACAAAATTGCTACTAAATGCTGCAAAAAGTTCTTATCAATAAGAAAGCACTCAGCGCAGGTATAAATTGAAGCTACACTCCAACCAACTGCAGCGACAAAAAGTTGTGAAAGGCAAGAGCGTGAGAAAAATCAGAGTCTAGATTTAGATTAAATATTGCTTTTATATCAGCTGATCCGCTGTGATGCTGATACTGAGTCTGCTGGTTTTGGACACCGGAATAGTGTATCCTAACTCTGATTAGTGGAGAGCGCCAAGAAGCTACCGTTTTCTGTTGCATTCGAAGTTTTAATAATATTATAATTTTTTTTTTCAAAGAAGAATAGATGGGTAGATCTATATGAAGGTAATTTTACATCATTTAGCAGCCGGCTGCTTCAACCCTTTTCAGGCAAAGGGCTAAGTAGAACCCTGCATCCCTAGCTACAGACCGACGAGATAGTACGTAATATTAGAAGCTATAATATCCCCCCACACACACATAGATACACACACCGACACACACACCGACACACATACACACACACACACACACACA